CCCTTGGCATCAATGACCTTGTTCCCACCCCTTTGTTTGCACTTCAAACCTGACTGTTGACCATCTGTGTTGAGCAGGAGAAGCTATTTGGCTCTTGATGCCTTTGATGCAAGTGGAACGTGCCGCTTGTAGGTGCCCACTTCTCCTTTTACCTCCATCATGTTGCTCAAAGAGCCTATACTATACGAGTGCTTGAAGATCTCCCTCTCTCCCCCACAGGAATGGAGGTACAGGACAGGCCCTCAGACCTCCGACCTCATGGCCGATGCACAGTGTCCTTCTGCTGATAGATGCTCTCTGCTCTGCCTTAGCAGACCCGTAATTCATGTCCACGATGGGCTCGTGAGCCCAACTGCTGCCTTACAAAATCAACACTCGGGTTAATAGCACCGGTCCTCGACGGAGGAAATTGTAAGTGGGCCATTCATATGTAATTGGTTTCAGCATTCTGGCACGCCTCCCGCACCAGTGATGATATGGACGATGATAAACAGCCGGATGAGTCTTGAAGAAGATACCGGCGATCGCAGAAAGCGACATAATTACTTCTCCCAGATAATTCATTCGTCCATACCCTCCATTCCAAGCACTGGAGCCTGATATGGAAAATTTACCTCTCAAGTCGGTTCCAGACACTTTTGAACCACCCAGTAATCTCCCTCATGTAGCTGCCATGATGCGGTTGGAAGCGGTCAAGCACCAGCGAAAGAATGCCGGGTTGGGAGAACGATAAGTGCTATGACAATGAAGAAGCTTGGTGTCGGTGCAGACGAGGGAATTGGAAAGGAGGTTCAGGCCTCTCTATTGAGTGCGAGGAGCCTGCGTGCCCTCACAAGTGGTGGCACTGGGAATGCCTGGCGTCACAAGAGCGAGAGTACGCAACAACATGGAGTACATCTGCTTCTTCATTGACGTTCCCTGTCGCCATTAATGCCTGACTTTTCATAAGAAACGTTCAAACTTGGATCGACGGTGCGACAACCCCTGACGGGATCGCCAACAAACCGTGGGTACCTGACGACATCAACCACGCTGTCGACACGGAGATCCTTGATGAAACAACGATTTCCCATATGCAGTCTACCATGCAGCCAGGTTGCGGCTGAAAGCTCGAAAAGAATCCAAGTCCTTCATAGACTCCTACAACACAACTAATCTACCGCCAACGAGTGCCACAGCGACAGAGGACGTAAAGAAGCTGCTTCTGCAGTTTGTGCACTTTGCGCACGTTCTGGGCATCCGGCCCCTGATGAAGGCGGTCATGCACGCTCTCTGCAGCGCGGTCTATCACAGTCCCTGACTGGCTGTACGCTGACGACAGCATCGGCACCACCGCCCGTTTGCTCGACCAGGTCACCTTCGCCGACAACCCTGCCAGGCGGTACCTGGAGACAGAGGCTCGCCGCCTCGTTGTCACATCTAGCGGCCTGCCGTGCGATGCCGACAGCATGAGCCGAATGTGCAAGATCGATGTGGCCTCCCTGGAGGAGTTGTGGTCAGCGGCGGTAGGGGAAGACGGCATGATGGCGATCCTCCTCGCGAACGAGGGATAGGCGGATGGGAGTGGATCCCCTGAAGGGGGGGAGAGGGGGGGGGGGGGCAGCCAAAGGTGCTCGAAAAGGCCATGCGGTGAGCTGGACGGACGTGAGACAGATGGTGAAGAGATCGAGCAGGAGGAAGAAGGGCAGGAAGGACTCTTCGCACCAACGTGCACCTCCAACGAGGACAACAAGACAGCGAGGACAAAAGCCTACCTTGCCCATCTTCGATCCAAGTTCGAGGCACCTCTTGAACTTGTCTCCCGCCAACCCGCCAACCAGGGGGCTGTTTGTTACAGTTGACTCCCTTTTCTCTTTCCGTGCCGCCTCTTCTCTTTCTTTGACGCCTACCACGCAATAATGGTTGAATGGATGATCGAATGAATGGCTCCTGATATCTCCGAGAGCGAACAGAGAGTCCTGTGTGTGTGTGTCACATAATATTCTTATGACTCAGATCCTCGACCGAGGCAGTCAGTCAGTCAGTCAGTAACGAAGAGGATGCTGGCGCGGATACCGGATACCGGGCACTGGATACTAGACACGGGTGCAGATACAGGAAGATACAGATAGATACTGGAGACGAAGAGAAAAGTACCCGGTCGTGCCGGTAGACAGAGCCCATACACAGCACATAAATGCACCATGACTTGGGGATTTGCGGACTTGGGAACTGAAAACGGAGGATATCATCTTTGGATTTGATTTGTGTGAGGAGGGGGGGGGGACAAAAGTAGCATGAGATTTTGGTTTCCTGATCCCATCCATCATTTTCCTGCTGAGCTCAAATTTCTGTTCAAGGCATTCCCAAAGCACGAAACAAGCACGAGCAAGATTTCCAGTGTCTCAAGTCGCACGTTCCCTTTTTCCCCGCCACCGCCAGGTCTTCGGCCTGATACAGGATCACCTTGCCATTTCCCACCCCACCAAGCCCTTGTTCCATGACCAGTTGTCCCCCATCCGCTCTCAGCTATCGATTCTCTCTTTCTCTCTGGCCCAACCCTCCCTCTCTCTCTTCGACCGGGAGATTGTTGTTTTGATCGCATAAACCCTTGTTGCTAGTACAAAGATCCATGGTATCCCTCCTTTTGCGATTTCCCAAAAAAGACTGTTGAAGACAAGCGAGAAGAAAACCACCTGGTCCACGAAAGCGAAAGGAGCAGGGGGCCATTCACCAGGACTCGCATCGGCCCCGCGCCTCGATGTACCAGAAGAAAGCCGCCAACTTGGAGAATGTTTCACAGGTGAGCCCCTCACTCGTCCGGGGGCTCTGAAAAGAGGCCGATCCTCACGCGATGGAATTGCGGCAATTTCGGTATGACGACAGCCATGAGGGCCATAAAGTTGATGGTAAAGTACGTGAAGTCGTAGTGGGTATAGTGCGTACTTAACAGAAACAGGACGATGGGCACAGTGAGAAGGAACTTTTTGGCGGGTGTGTATTGGTCGCCGTTGTCAATCTGCTCCCACATATTCAGGTTGTCGTATGCTCCGGCATTGAATTCAAAAGGCACGCCTCGCACCCAATGAAACATCAGATACGATCCCGCCATGTATGTTATGTTTGTGAGTGTCCACGATATCTCTTGGGTAACGCCAGGGATGATGTCAAAGAGGATCTTGAGGCCGATTATTAGAACGGGGTGTATTGTCCAGGCTCCTGCACATAATGTTAGATTAGTCCCTTGCTCTCTTGTTTCAATATCAGGCTGTGGCTCTCATCATCATCACGGCGCACCTTTTGCATTAACCCACTGCGAGTTGAGATTTGGGAGGGCAGACTGGTCACTGATCTGTTCTAAGGACTCGGGAGGTTCTTGATATATGATGCTGCTCGACCGCCTCCTCCGACCACTCTTCGTCGTACTCATGGCTGGATCGTAGGACGACACGGGAGGGGCCAGTCTTGCATTGGCTTCGAAGGAGATGGAGCGGTGGAGGGTTGTTTGGGAGGTCATCGAAAAATGTAGGTGTTGTTGCCAACGCGAGGACGTTATCTTGTGAAGTGCAAATGAGGAGCTATGGAGAAACTATCGCAAGGCGTGAACTGTGAAAAGGCCTGCATGTGGTCAGCAACGCGAAGTGAGAGGTGGCGTAAGGTTCGTCCGTACCTGAGGGAGCCTTGGGGGGGTGGTCGCGGGATCAGTCGCGTTCGAAGGGTGAAGCTCGATAGTAGACCGGAGTCTGTGGTCATGAAGTGGAATAAATGTCAGAAGATATTCAATTTAAGTTGACAGACTGCTAACAGTGTGCGCGCAGAGTATATAAGATCCGGAGACACGAAGACAGAAGGGGTATGTAGTGAGACGCGCACGGTGTTCGGGGTCGACCGACGAAGTCTCAGATTTGGATATAAATGGGTGAGGTGGCTCGGCTGGCGGATGGGGGAATTGGTGATGGCGGTAATAATTTACATACACAGTTGGAAGGGGGATCTAAGTCAAGAAAGAGATCGGGGTATAGTTAAAGACGGGCACCAGATTCCACCAGCCAGAGGGGGACAAAGGGTTTAACTAATGCAACAGGCAGCCGACAGACTAGTGAGCCAGTGTGAGTTCCAGGTACAGACATGTATGTACAAGTACGAGGTACATCAGTCCTCCCGGTGATGCCTAGGTAGGTATCTAGGTGTCTAGGCACCTTAACTATGTAGGTCACAGCGCACACGACCCCCGTTGGTGCTCTAATTTGTGGGCGGCAGGTGGAACTCTTGCTTGTTTCCTGCCTTCAACGTCAGACTTCTTGGCAGACCTTGGATCAATCTGGCTTGGTGCCCTCAACACTTTGTTACTCGTCGCATAAGAATACGGAGAACTTCGTTTGTCTTGATTACTGTACCACATTTCTCCAGATTATGCTGGAAAATGACGTCTTCATATCTCTAGCTATTTCCTCCGGCGATCTTGTACTGCATATGACTGCGTCTTTATCGCTCTTTCACGGCCGTTACCTCGTCTTTAGACTGATCTGGTCCTCGAGAACCGGCCGGCACGACAAGGATGGCAGCACTGATGGCCGAGATCCGAACGGCGGACAAGAGAGAACGAGATATTTGATGATACACCACTTGGGCAAAATTCCGCCTATGGTAAACTCCGAGAACCGTTGCGTGGTTTCTTACGAAGGAACGTCTGGTGCGGCCTTCACATTACTTTCTGTTGCCCCGACAAAAGAGGACGGCCTTCAATGTCGTCTTAGACGACCAAGTCCTTGATAATGCCTATATCAATACCCGAGAGACATAAATATGGTTCCCTTGGTGCTCTCTTCTTGCGAGACCTCGCTTCGAAAGCCCTCAGCCTCTTCTTCCACGAGGTGCACCTTGCCTCCCTCTCTTTGGTGCCCCCAGTATATCTCGCAACAGGAATCGGAGCAACCCTCCAGCGTATGCATGTTCTTTCGGAAAGTACTTTCCAGTCCCGGTTGTGTAATCTTGTAATTGCTTCAAGTTTGCAAACACCCTCACTGGGACTCCTGTTCGCGGAGCGTCCACAAGGTCCACAAGATTGACATGCGTCTGTCGAATCCGCTACTCGTGGTAAACGAACTGCTATCAACACGAACAAGTGGAGCGGTATCATGGCTCACCTTTCGACAGTCGTTCAGGCCAACAGGCATTGGGACGATATTTAGAACATGACACAAACTCTGCCAGGCATTCAGGTCATCCCCGTCCGTGCCATAGAGGTCGTTGAACTGCTGAACCATTGCTGACTTGAAGTTCTCCATGGCTTCCTCCTTCTCATCCTGCCTCTTATTCCAACCAAATTCATCGCACATGCGATAAAATTCGCGCCAAATTTCTGCAGACTCATCGTAGTCGAAGTCGGGATATTCGGCAAAGAAATCACTAATATGGTCATTTCGTTGCGGGCTTTGAACGAAAGACTGCTGGACACTTGACTTAGCAAGGGACGAGAAGAGAGGAGACGGCCGAGAAAAGACACGGGCGCAAAGTTGAGAATGCAGCAACTCACCTCAGAACCATTCTCCTCTGGCTCAACATGGGCAAACTTGCACGTCGATCCAAAGCGGCATGTCCCAGATTCAAGATAGCTGAAACAGACTCCACCACTCTTGCTCCTCATTGTGAAGTCCGAATAGAAAGCCAGATAGGAAAACTAAGAGGTCTCGTGAGCACAAGACACAGATAACAGCGAGCGAGAAGGGAAAATGGGCAAGACAAGAGAAGCACAGCAACATGTACACCGGTCATGTTCATGTGCTTCGTGGCCGGGTCATCATGCTCAAAGCACACCCCTGCCTTGACGGTCCTTTGCGACCTGAACCACATCAGTGAGGCAACCTCAGCCGCTTTCTTGCTTTAGGGACGAGCAACGTTATTCGCTGGGCACAATACGAACACGCTGCCTATTTGCTAATTAGCATTTGGCTACCCGTGGAATGGTGGGCAAGTACCCTACGAATCCGAGGCTGGCGGGAGGAGACGACCCAATCTCCCTACACCGCGTCCTGCGAGCACGCGTAACCCCGCTTTTGGGAGCCTATTCCAACGCACCTGGATCAATGAGATCGAGCTGGCCCCGACCGAGCAGTTTGCCAGAAGACCAGAATATGAGAGGTCGTCTCTGCGAATGGCCGGCATATCCGTAGCGCGCGGATCATCGCCTGGTGCCAGCTACAATGAGGTTGCTGGCCAGGGTGTGGCTCTGCTCCCACGTTCATTAGACAGCCTCATTGAATGGCTTCTGTGCATGGTTCAATCGCTCAGATGTCCCCGCATGAGACCAATTTTCACATGGGCTGAGGAGTGGTCTCTTTGTCTTGTTTGCCTCTTTCTGCCTTTTCATTTCTCAGTCAGGTGAGCATCTGTCTGGCTTGTACAGAAAAAACATGATCATAGCGTGGTTTAAGTCCACGCCATCCGGGCCTCCACTTCAACCTTGTGTCAGTAGAGTTGGATGGAATTGATCAACACTGATTTATAACGAGGTCACAATCGCTTTGTGAGAATATTATTTCAGGCATGCGGAGCCTGATGAATTGATCTACAAGATTGATTGTTCTTGCCGTCAATGTGGTCACCCAGCCAGATCTGACATGAGGTTAACAGTCCAACTAACAAAGCCTTGGATGGTACGTATACAGTATACAAGAGCACAGTCTCGCCGCCATGAGAACTTTGGGCCAGCAAGACGTACTTCCACTTCCGCTTCCACGACTTGCAAACTCCTCTACTAACCGTTTGTAGTAGGCAACTACCGGCCCGCTCCGAGGCTCTAGCCAAGTCTTTCATTTAATGCAGAAACCTCGTCATATGATTGGATGACTGCATTGGGATTCACGCGCCAAGAAACATCAAGTAGAGAAGCACATGAGGCACACGCGGATGGGCTGCAATGTGAGCCTCACTGCGGCTGGCTAGGTTCAAACTTTGCCCTCTCTCAAGCCCGCTGCCGTGGACCTGCTCTTATTCGATGGGAAGAACCTCGCATACTCACCATCCTCCAGGGAGAGGAAGCCCCCTCTCGACAAATAGCAACGCTTCACGCACTTAGCGCTCACTTCTCCCCCAGTCTATCGAGACAGGGCTGAGAAGACCCAGGTATGTAGCGCTGCGGCATGGGCGCTTAAAACAATGCTGAGTCCCCTGCTGGCAACAAGAATCTGCTCAGCTCACTTTGTCACCTGCACAGGAAAGATCGTGCCCTCTACTGCTGGCTCATCGCCCTTTCAACATCTCAAAATGGTCAACTCCCAGGGTTTGCTGGATTGGTAAGTTCTCGAACTTGATTGACTGAGAAAGAAGCTAAAACATCATAGGTATGATGGTCTCTACTCTCGTACTGTGGACCTCGTAGGTGACTATGCGGGCGACGAACTATTTATCATCGAAGGAGACTCATTGCTTCTCCATTCGTTTTCAGACGATAAACTCGACTTCTCGCCAGGCCTTCAACTGCTCCATGCGACATACATCGTGGAAAACTTCCTTCGGGCTCTCCTTCAGCGAAAATGCAAATTCAATCTCGTTTTCTTCAACAAACATGCGCACTTGTGCATTCCACGGAATACTCCAGCTCACCTGCGCTCCAGGTATCTCCTTGCCCGGGAGGCAAACATTCAACACTTCAAGTGCAATATTTCTCTCACTACCTCATCCTTGGAAGTCAAAGTATTCGACTCGTATTCTTCTCAAGACTTTGACAAGTATTTGGCATCAACAGGAGCATACTTCTTCATGTGCCATGACGGCTCTTTTCCATCATTGGATGTTCAAGACAAGTCGGAAGATGATGGTGACAATACACAAAACCAGGCTCTTTCGGAGTTGCAGCCAAACATTGACACAGCTCGTATTTCAAAAGAAGACAAAGTGACTGCTCAACCAATGTCCCAAGAGACTCGATTTGACTACGCTCGGAAAGTGGCATTGCGCCGGATGATCCACTGGTTCATCGGTCACAGTTACAATATTGCTCTCGTCACCACAGTGGAGTTCCGGGACACGAAGGTAAGCTGACCCTGTCCTGCCCAGGGTCAAGTTCCAAGAACCATCTGACAATGGCATCAGGTCATGGCAATGATTGTCGAGGGCACCAGAATGCGAGTGAGCCAGCCGATACGGACGCAAAGCAACACATCCCAAGTATCTGCCGCCTCAGAGATGGAATCCCAAGCCGATTCCGAACCAAGGTCCCCGGACACAGACCGCGCAGACTATAGTGATTACCATGCAGTCGAGAGTAACGGTTGCAACGAAAAAAGTGAGAACCATGTACCGGACTCAATGCAGAATGGAAATCCAACCGAAGCGAATATCCACGTGCTGCTAGCAAAACCCCTCGCAGAGATACTGGCGATTCTAGAGCGGACGAAGAAGCCGCCTCTATCACAACGGGACCTGTTGGTAGTCACAGCCCTGAGTCTCATGTTCAGATCCGGCAAAATTGGTACAGCTGCTGTACGAGAATCATGTGCAATGCTCCTACATACAATCGTGGTGCGGGAATGTCGTCTCTGCGATCGCGTTCTCGACAATACAAGCACGGGTACCAACTCGAGTTTCTTGACAGACTTTGTCGACATATCCCTCAGCATTCTCGTGTCGGATGCCTGGCGAAGAAATGTCCTACGTCAAACGCTACCGTGTGACCTCGCTGATATGCTTGACGGGCGGCTATTCCTCAACATTGCGTCGTCACTTCAGTGGGCTCCCGGTCGAGCCACTCTCAGTCCTTCCATGTTTTCGTCATTCAGCCACCTTATGTCTCTTCTGAAAGACACTTGCGCCATCAATGTGCAGCTTGAGCTGGAGGCCTCGGGGCTCCCTCTTGTACAAGACGTTCGCTGCAACATAACAACCCCATCGACCCAGGGCACAAAGAGGGTCATACCAACAAACGGATGTGAGGTTAGGACCACAGTCCTCCCTTTCAATAACCCGGTGTTCGATCCCCACCTAGCGCCCATACAACTTACCATCGACGTCTCCGCTAGGAACGAGAACACAACGCGAATCTTCAAGGAGCTCAGCCACTGGCATAACCATCGACAGCCCATCGACCAGAAAACCATTCGCGCCATGACTGATTGGCAGAAGGCCCGTGCAAATCGACGGAACCAGTTTTTTATGAAGGAGACCAGGGACTACGCCGCGAGCCTGACCAATGCTATCGGGGGCGTCCTAGAGCCTGAAACTATCATTGTAGAGAAAACAACGGGCGGGCCGGCAAAGAGACATGGAGCCTCCAATATGGCAAGGCGTGAAAAAAAGACACCTCATGTTGAAAAGAGTCAGGGCTCTCGAGCCAATGTCAAAGAGCTCGCCAACGCAATTGTTTTGGAGAAGCGGAGCAAGGACACGGCCAAACTGGTGGAGGCGTGGAATGCCACGAGAATCGGACTGGTCAAAGAGTCAAACCTCACGTCCCGCTTCCTCAAGGCGAAGAACCATCTGAGCAGCCTGGCCGGAAACAAGCGAGAAGCGGTGGAGGCCGATGTGTCGGTATACATGCTCAGTATTCTGATTGAGATGTGGACACTGAGATGTGCCAACGAAGAACGAGCAAATGCGATGCCCATCATGGGACTGATTTGGAACCAAATCCTCCAGATCAAAAAACTAGAGCACGGCATCACGATGAAGATGGCAACATACGTGGCCAACACGATCCAGGCTCTTGGTTTGCCAGCCTTGGGGCCGCTTCAAGTCCAAGAAAAGAACAGCACCGGCTCTACAACCGTATTGTTCGAGCCTAAGAGAGACGCCGTGGGCATTCAACTATCTCCACTGGAATTCCAGCTCGTCCACGCCGGGCCGTTCTTTGACCGGGACATGGGCTCCGCGCCAGATCGTCGAGTCCATGATTTTGAGCCGGACAAGTGGCAGCGAGACGTGCTGGACCAGATCGATTGGAAGAGGAGTGTGTTTGTTGTCGCCCCGACCAGCGCCGGAAAGACGTTTATTTCGTTTTACGCCATGAAGCAAATCCTCGAGGAGGACGATGACGGGGTGCTGGTCTACGTTGCGCCAACTAAAGCCCTTGTCAACCAGATCGCCGCAGAGGTCCAGGCCCGATTCTCCAAGACGTTCAAGTATCCCGGGAATTCGGTCTGGGCCATACACACGCGCGACCACCGCGTCAACGACCCGACGGGGTGTCAGGTGTTGGTCACGGTGCCGCACATGCTGCAGATTATGCTTCTCGCCCCGACTAATGCGAAGAGTTGGTCTTCCCGGGTCAAACGTATCATCTTCGACGAGATTCACTGTATCGGCCAGGCCGATGATGGAGTCGTTTGGGAACAGTTATTGCTCCTCGCTCCGTGCCCCATCATCGCACTCTCAGCGACGGTCGGGAACCCGCAAGAATTCAGCAATTGGCTGAGCAAGACTCAGGAGACCAACGGGATCCAACTCGAGATGATAGAGCATCACCACCGTTACTCAGATCTCCGCAAGTATGTCTACAGTCCGCCCCAGAAGTTTCTCTTCAATGGCCTGTTTGTCCGTCCGCAACTCCCGAGTGTTGGAATTGACAACGCCCCCGCTGTGAGTTTCATGCATCCCGTTGCAAGCTTGGTTGATCGTTCGAGGGGCATACCCGACGATCTCACTCTCGAA